TTTGAGCGGAATTCAACTGTTTGTAGGAGTGCGGGGATTGAATACCTTCTGGTTACATCACTAATTTTTACAAAAGAGAGGAGGTCACTCATTGCTTAATCGCTTTTTTTTCGCCAAATCTATTGGGTTACAGAGCTTGAAAACGGACCGAACCCGAACCGACTTTTAAAAACTCAAGTCGAACCGAACCGAGCCCAAACCCGAAAATGACGGTTTGTTTCGAACTCTGTTGGATTATAGGTAATCGACCATGCTGATTCCGAATATCAATACGAAACCAACTGGTAGACGCATTTATGGAAAACCAGTTTTTCCTCAAAACATTTTTTTTTTGATCCGTCTAGATTATAGAACATATTGAATTGACTATAAAAACACAATTTGCTTCCGTTTGTGAACCTTCGCTGAGGTCATCTGAAACCGTACCTGTCAGTAGAGCTGTCAGGTCGAGTCCCGAATCTGAAAATTTTCTGTCAATCAGATTCGGATCCGATGGACTCTACCTGTCGATCTCATAAGATATTTAATATAATTACAATAGAATTCATATTTTCAGGCAATATACAGTTCTTCAAAAGACTATCAACGTGTATAATTTATATCTTAGTTTTCGATCATATTTGTTTTTTTCTTCTATCCTTTATAACTGATAATTTATTTTGTTAAAATTTTTAAAAATCATACTTTCTTGTTCAGCAATTCGTTTTTTAATATCTTCATGATGTGATGAAAGAACAGCAAGTAATGTTAATGATGATGAACGTATTTTTACAATTATTGATTCATCAATATGTTCATCAAATATTTTAGTTGGTGTAAATATATAAATAAATAATTTACTTAATAATTGTTCTGTATACATAGCTATATGATGTAATGCACTATTACCATTAAGTAAATAAATAAGTGTATCAAGACATTCAATATATAAATAAATACATTTATTTATAATTGATTTTGTACATAAATGAATTAATGTTGTTAATGATTCAAGTGCAACAGATGGATGATCAGCTGATAATACTTTTGTTTTACAAAGATTAACAAAAAATTTTGCTGCATAATATGATATAATAACAGGTTGATGAATTTTTGTTAATAAACTTGATATTATTTCACATAATGTTTGATGTGTTTCCATATGAATTGTATCATGTAATTGTTGAGCAATAAGACAATTTTCATAACATAATGAACAAAAAACTTTTAAACATGCTCCAACAATATATTCACTTGTAACACTAAAAACAAAAAATATTGATATAGAATGACATCGGATCCGAACAAAGTTTAAAATTTAGATCCGGACTTGGTTGAGTCCAAACTTAAGGTTTTTTCATTAATACCTTGTACCCTTCGTGTATATGAACAAGTGAAGATTCGCTACTATTATATCTTGTTGCTAGATTTCTCATCTGATGAGCAGCTGATCCAACAAAAACTAAAAGGTAGGACTCGAACCCGCAGTTTTCTAGTTGTATTGAATCTAAAATATCATATGAGTAAATAGAATTTTTGTCAGAACACTTCGAGTGAGCGTTGATAACACGATCTTTTCTAAATATCAATCGAGCAAGTTTTTATAAATATCAATCGGGATAGAATTGAGCTAAATATCTGATGAAATCAAATCAAACTATTCTAACGAAATAGATTTCGAGTAAACTTCGGTGATAGGTAAACCAGTAAAATATTGATCGACATAGATTTTAGCAAAAAAAATTCGTAACAGAATCGAGTAGTTGAAATTCAGACATTCACGGAAACAGATACACCAAGCAATTTTCTTGCTGACGATGCCACAAAAATACATAAACGAAGTAATATCTGAATACCTTCAAAAGATCTTCAATGATTCTGTTCAATTTTCATATTTGATATTACTCTCCTACTGTTAATATGCCTCAAATAAGAATACAAAAATAATAATCAGTCATCGGTAAACGATGAACATTGTTAAAAGCTTACGATGAAGACCGATATGTTAGTTAATTCTGGTTTCTTTAGGATGACATCGACAAACAGTATCAAAAAGCCGATTGTCACCATAGATCTTCATCATTAGATCTATTACCAACCAATTTCGGCAACCGATAGGCCGATTGCTAGTCCGTTGCAATTATCAGTAGTGTTAGCGTCAGCCAGCGTTGGAACCGATCCGGCAAACCGGTATTAGGTCGGTAGAAACCAGACATTTTTCCATCAGTTTTTAACCGATTTTCACCGGTTACACATATGATTCCAGCCGGTCGGACCGGATCAGTTTACCATTTCTCAACCGATTCCAAGTCTGGCGTCGACAGATGACACTACGTTGACGCTAACTTAATTGAACTTCGTTCAATTGGTCTTTTCTTGTTACTTTTTCATTTGTTGGTGTCTTCTCTTTCAGATTTTGATATAATTCAGTTGCACCTTCTGCTATCTAGTAAAACATTGTATTGTATTATCTCCGATTCATCTTCCATTATTATTATTATTATCAGTGTTATCATCATAATAAATCTCCCCCTCTCCCTTATATTACACTTCTTATTCCATTACTCCATCATCACCAACAACATTATTATTTAGTCAATTCCAAGATAAGATCATTATAATTTTAGGTCCCAATAATAACACAAAAAAGTTGACTTAACAAGTAGATCGATTATGGTCACCATTGCATCTCTACTCTTCAATTTATAAGCTTTAGCTTGCATTGAAGTTTTTCATACTACTCGTTATATTTCGAGATCTTATTTCTGAGTGAACGGACAATCGAAGATCGATCTTTGCAAATAGTTATGATCAGTGCAATTAAAACTCATTGAAAAATAAAAGAATTTACTATCTATGAAGTCAAAAATCTTCTAAGATATATGATAAAGTTAAACATTTTGTAGAATTGATTTCATTGCAATAGATTTTTAAAAATATTCATATTTGATATTGTAAATTATATTGTATTTATTTACCTGACTTGACTAATTTTATTATTATTATTATTATTATTATTATTATTATTATGATTTGTTTGTTGTTGTTGTTGTTTATCATTAATGTTTTCTACAAGTAAATGCATAATAGCTGGTATAATATTTTTTTCCACCAATTGTTTTTGTCGTTCATTATTAACACATAAACAACATAAAATTTCAACAATTGATAATTGTGCAGATTTTGATATTGATAATAAACGAATAAATATATCAAATATTTGAGAATTTTCAAATAAAATATCAATAAGTGAATATTGTTCATTATTAGAAATAAGTTGTATAGTTGAAGAAAATTGTTCGGTTTGTGTTACTAATGATGGAGGTTTATGTGTATCTTGATCACATAAAAGTACAAATGGTATTGGTGTTAAAAATGGATTTGTATAATCAACTTTTGACAATGTTGTTGATGATAATTTTGGTAAAAAAAATGAACGTAAACATCGAAGACATGATTCACATAAATTAATTAAATTAATATCTAATGATAATAATGAAAATAAATGTTGTATACAACCAAGTTCAATTAATCGATTAACAATATTTTTATTATTTGATTTAACAAATGATGATATACAATCAAGAATTTCTATAAGTAATTCTGTATGATGTATTGATGAAAATTCTTTAAGTAAATTAAAAAGTGTCTCAGCTGTACCAACGCGATAAAATGCTGTTTTACAACGATTTGAACCAATTACTAAGTTTTTAACCTAAAAGATAAATATAGATACGATTAAAATTTAAATAGAATCATGTAATACAATTGGATATGTTTATATATTTTCATTCATTTCATCTGAACTTAATTATGACGTCATACCTTACGCATGAACATGAGTATGATGTTATATTGGATGTATGAGTCGTAAGAGCAATTTTATAATAAGAATGAAAATTCAAGCATGATACTCACATCTGAGATGAGTACAGATTTTTCAAATCTATTTTAATTTCAATTCGATTCTAAGCTGAACTGATACAATTCAAATTATTATATAGACATATAAAAAAAGAAAGAATATATCATAGGTAATGATAGAGCATGAATAATGCAATTATATTGTTGATTATAGAAAAATCATTTATATCATAATCACTTAAATCAAATTCAATAGAATATTAATATCATCTTTTCCTTATGAAGTAACAATAAATCATAACTAAGAAAACATTAACTTATATATATCATCTTCCTTGTATATTAATAGATCAGATAGTTTTTATTGTGTTCAATCAGGTGAATATTCTCATGAATTATTTGAGCATTCAAAAACATACTCTTATTTCGAATCAGACAAATTGTAGTAATAGTATTTTCTATTTCAGTTTGATTTGATTTAAATTCTAATCGAGTCTATTTCTAATTCATATTTATCAATACGTAGAGTATTAATCTATCTCTAGTCTTATGACTGTTAGTATTGCGTAGTTATTGACATTCCACTCGAACAAAATACTACAGATGTCGATCTAGAGATGATGATCATTGAAAACTTAAGTATAAATTTAATTATTCAAAATGCTAAAATATATTCTAACGATTTTTTTTTTTTATAATCAATGAAAATAATGAAAGTGATCGATGATATAAAAATTTGTTTTAATACAGAACTTTGAATCAAAATAATAAGAAAATGATGATGTATACTCAACGAATATAATTTTCTATATTTATTTTTCCTTTTTTTTTTTTTTTGAATATGTAAATTGAAATTTTCTAGATTCATTTAGAATATTTATAATAATAATTTTTAATTTTGTATTATTTATCGTTTTTTTTTTTACCTCAATAATAGCACGTATTCGTTGTTGTTCTTCACCATTTTCAACAAGTTTTTTTAATAATATTTCTTCTTCGTGTGTAGGTAAATCATCATCATACGAAGGCATAATTGATTAATATATTTTTCAAAAAAAATATTTCGATTAGCTATTATAAATCGACAAGAAAATAACAAATAACAACACGTTTGGGTAGCTATGTATGAATAAGAAACGTAAAAAATATCTAAATATATGATTGGTTAGTTAAAGAGACAAATAAAAATCAATGTAGAAATTTTTTTTTTTTTGGTGAATTTTATTGTTTATTTAAAATATATGCACACAATATTATGATCATTTACATGTTACGTTATCATACTTTGTGATCCGTGTATAAATTGTAAAAGTGAGAAAAATACAAAACATAGGGAATATTTATTTTTCTGTCATTCTCGTTTGCCATTTCTCTTCTTTTTTTTTCTTCTCTCAGTCCCATGTCGTTTGATTTTGTTTATGTTTGTACATATATCTTATTCATGTCTATCATTATTCCGTTTCAGTAATAATATTATTAATATGATTTTCATTCATTAAAAAATCATATTCACCTCTGAAGAAATTCGTGTTAGATTATAAGTGTAACATTGTTTTAAACATATTTGACAACTTCTGTGATATGTACTTCTACTTCTACTAATATATTTGTTTTTTTTTTAATTATTATCATGTATGTTGTGACGATTGGTTTTTTTTTCAGTGTAAAAATTTTGTTTTAAATAAAATAATACAAACAATAGAAAATTTTTCTTCTTCATTGGTATTTTATCAATCTCAATATTCTATAGTTAAAAGTTTGAAATAAGATATTTTTTTATAGTCAACAGTATATTATTAATTGTAAGTATGATATTTATCATAAAAAGAAAAATTTCTTATTCTTAAATGTCATTCATATTTATTCTTTTTTTTTTATTATATGTATAATTAAAATTTATTTATACATATTAAATAAATACTATATTTCATAAGCGAAATGCAAAAATATCAATATCCAAATGTTCTTATTAATAGCGATAATATTTATTTCTTTATCGGTTTTGTTTCTAGTTGATCATTAGAATAAATATTTCTGCTGTTGTCATCCACCATCTGGCAAAAAATAGAAGAGAAGATTCTTGTCCTTTGAATGGTGTCTTGTAAGTCGTCAGTAAACAGGCCTCCCTCCTCCAAAAAAATAATACAAGAGAGTAGGAATAGGCAGAAAAGGATAAGACAAGAAATATAAAGGAAGAGGAAAAAAAAAGAAATGCAGAAGCGACAATAACAACATCATTTGCTTTATTCAAGGTAAATAATTTCTATCCAAAAAAATAAAAAACAAAACTTCACAATTATCCTCAAAAATATTCTAATAACAGAATAATACAATTAACTTGATCAACTAATATTGATTGATCTATTAAATTTAGTTCTGGCGAGTTTTTTTTTTGGTTTCATACAGTTGATTTACATAAACAGACTAGATAAATTATGAAAAGGCATCTTATCTACAACAACATCAATCTCATATCTATCAGGGTAAAGTTGATTAGTCGTATTCTATTTGTAGCTTAGCTTTAAATGATAATTTATATCCACATGTCATTTTTCTTTCAAAGACAAAGATCGATATGAGAACTATTACGACGAGTCTAAATAAGTTCGAGAATTTTATTACTAGAACTTATGAAATCAATGTCAGAATAAATCAGTAATATATATATATATATATATATCAAAATTTATCTAATCTCTAAAATTCAATTGTGAAAGATTTTCAATCGATCTAAATTCGTTATATAGTAGCGATTATATTTATATATTCTATCTAATATACTATTATTCATTTCTTAGCCTTTTGTGTTTGTACAGTCTCGACATAATATTATCTTTATTATTCTTCTAGTCCATCCATCGATAACTAATTCTTTTCAAGTACAACAACAATTCGAATCAACTTTTACAATAATAAATAATCGTACAAATATGTTTAATATAACTGATCAACTATCATCAGTTTCCGATATAAATTATCGAACTATACCAGGTAAAAAAACGATTTGTTTTTTTTTTTCTTTCATTTTAATTAATAGAAAAATAAAATTTAGATCATCAACTACAACTTTCACCGGAACAATTAAGAGAAAAATTACGAAAACAACTTGAATATTATTTTTCCAGGTAAATTTTATCAATATTAATAAAAAAAAATAAATTATTTTCTTTATGTTTTATTTTTCTTAACATAAAGAGAAAATATGATTCATGATAGTTATTTACAATCACAAATGGATGCTGATAATTATGTACCGATATCTTTAATTGCTAATTTTAAACTTGTTAAACGTCTTACACAAGATCTACAATTAATTATTGATGTTCTTAAAGGTAAATATATCAATTATTCTTCATCACTGTCTGAAGAATAATAATACATTAGAAAATTTTGAAACTATCAAAGCTGTTGGATGCTATCTTCTATGAGATAATGAGGTTAGAATGACACCATTTTTTGCCCTCATTTGTTCGAGATGCTATGCTCGATGAGACTAAAATACTTTTTACAGATGTTACATACTATTTTGGGTTGTTATGTTTTTTTCTTTTTGTTTCATTTGATTTTTTTTTGTTCTTTGAAAAACACAAAAGCTAAAATATTGAACATACCCGTAAGAAAAAAAAAATGCTTGGTTTTCTTTTGCTAGAACAAATTTTGTAGAAGCACTACAAACGTTCAATAACTATCATTATACTGAAGAAATGGGAGTAAAGCAAAATAAAATTCTGAGTGTCTTGTAAATACTCATCATTTTTTTTTTCTTTCTATTAGTTTTCGATTACTGCGCATTCGTTGATGTTGTTTTCACGCTCGGAGAATACTTTTTGATAAACATCTGGAAAATGTCTATAGCCTGAGAAAAACAACATATTGATTGAAAGTTATCAACTGTTCTCATGTTAATTTTCGACAGAGAGAGAGAGAGAAGATATCCGACAGGACAAAAAACTGTCAGCAGATGAACAAATGAAACACACATGACATCCTTTTCGAATTAATTATATATATTGAACGATGTATCATGTGACTCAGAGAGGAGAAGATATCCTTCCATTACTACTTCGTTATTTTATGAAACATGATCTAAAACAATGATGAAGTATAGGGGTAGACACTTATACCTATTGCCCACACACCGTGCTAGACGTTGTTGGAATACGATAACAGACTGTATGTCAACAATATCTCGTTATACTAAACGAATTAATTTCTTATTACATTTCTGAAGAGTTAAATAAAAGGTTAGAGAAGAAATGTGTCCCAAGATAGATAGAATAAAACAATCTGCGTTTGATAAGCAACAGCAGCTACATCATGTTTCATATTCTAATTCCTTAGAGATTATAATAATAGCTTTTATGATTATATTTAAACTTATTATATGTTTAACATCATTCAGAAATTTTTATATTTTTAGAATCACCATCAGTTGAAGTCGATATTGAAGAGAAAAGAGTTCGTTCATCAGATAATCCAATATATCTTCCAACACGAAAACGTTGTATTATTATATTACGTAATGTACCATTAGATGCAACAGAAAATGAAATATTAGAATTATTTTTAAATAAATCTTGTCCAGTATCAGCTATTGCATGTGAACGAGTATTAGAATTTAATCATTCAGATTGTTGGTATGTAACATTTAATAGTGAAGATGATGCACAAAATGCATTTTTATATCTAACAAGAGAAAGTATTTTTATACGTGGTCAAAAAATTTTGGTAAAATCATATTTCTTTTGTTTGCAAAAGAACAAAATCTTAATTTTTGTTTTTTTTGCTTAGGCTCGAATGAAAGCTTGTCTATGGCAAAAACCTGTTTTATCATCAAACGATAATATAAAAGATTCATCTATACCGAAAAATTCTTCATTAGTCTCAACACAAGAACAAATTACTCCTGTTTATATTCAAACACTACCAACAAATCATATAAATCAATCATCAATTGTCGGAAATCTTTCACAACAACAAACAACATTTAAACCTCGTCATATACAAGTATTACAACAATATTTACCAATGAATTATAATTCTAATATTTTATCACATCATCCACATAATGTACCATCAACATATTTATTTACAACAAATATGCAACCATTAACTATGAATTATTATTCTCAAACACAATTTTTAAATAGAAATGTAAAAATTTTTGATTTAGATATATAATATTTTGAAAAATATCTATTATTTTAGCATTCTATTTTTCCAATTAATTTTTGGTATAAACCACCAACAACAGATTCATATTCACCTATGGTAAAAATTAATTTCTTAATATACAGTGTGTTGCGAAAAATTATAGAATCATTAATCATCTTTGAATTTTATTCTTATCACTTTTTTTGTTTCAAATTTATATGTTTAAGGACAGCCTTACCTATTTCCATGATTTCTTAAGAACGGCTCTACACAAGATAGATAGATCTCGACTAGTAGAGTAAAAGTTGTCATAGACTCAAAATTTCCAAATGCTTCCTTCTATGAGATATAGGAGAACACAGGTGTCAAAAATGATCTGAAGCACTTCAATATCTTTTTAGATACAAAACAAAAATCGAAATCGAAAAGAGAGAGTAGGTGCTCTTAATCTATATATTAGCAGTGGATTTGAAATGTAAAAAAGTGATAAGAATAAAATTCAAAGATGATTAATGATTCTATAATTTTTCTTAAAACTGCATTAGAAAAAACCATCCTAATCAAGAAGAACTTATTTTCTATTTACAGTTTGTCCGTGTCAATTCTTTAATACGAGTAGGAAAGTTTTCATACTTATTTTGATTTTCACACGTATAGAATTGAAATTTATTATTTCGTAGAATAATTTCAAAAAGATTTTTTTTTCTGTTCTCATCAGATATACTTGCATGCATTTTAGTGCTATCAACACTTTCAGAAAAATAAGACGAAAAAAAAGAAAAGTAGTCAAATATAATCTGTAGATAAGAAGAAAAAAAAATGGATGTTATTTTTCAAGCAAATATAACAAGATGAAAGTTCGATTTTGCTTTATATTGATAAAAAAAAAAAGAACAACTTTCGATAATTTTGTTTCTAGACTTATAATATTCAATCTAAAAGTCGAGTAACAACAGCATCTAAACCACGGTAAATAAAAAATCTTTAAAAAAGTAATCATTAATTTTTCTTTCTAATTTATTAGTAATACAACAAAAACAATTTCTAATCAAATAGAACTCTCAAACACTAACAATCATTCAAATGCATTGCTTAATTCAAGTCAAAATAGTACTTCACAGTTCGTTTCTTTTTTCTCATAAATAAAAATTCAATTTTTTTTGTTTTTTTTAACTTTTAGTTCTGAAGATACTAAATCATCAATTTCTCATAATGAAACATTATTAAATCAATCATCATTACAAACTATTCAAGCATATTCATCTGATAAATCGACTATTGATGATTATCAAAAATCAAACAATGAATATCATTCATCTATGCAAATATCGAATGATAATATATGTAAATTAAAATCAACAGAAATAAATAATTCATTAATATCTCAAACTATTGAACAATTACCAACGACAAATGATTCTATTCATCAATGTGATTAATATCATTATCCTAAGAGAATTACTAAATGATGTATCATTTACTTCTTCTAACAATTTAAAAAGAAGCCAAAAAAAAATAGACTTTTGGTGCTATAGGTTACGATATTTTGTCTTACAGAGATAGATTTGTGCGTATTAGATAAATGAATTTCCCGACTTGTATTGTTTTTCTAATGTTTGTTTATATCTTGAGAATAATATAGATGATATGAAGAATGAAAAAAAGAAGAAATAAAATATGCATGACTTTCTCTTGGAGAAAGCTGCTCTCGATATTTTAAAGATACGAAATTTGATTCATTGTTTTTTCAGTCGATTTAAGAAAATAAGTTTTGTCAAGCAAAAAAATACGAATTTATATCATATAGAATGAGCTGGTATTATTGGGCATAACTTATCGGATTCATTTTTTACAAGATTTCAATACTGGTATTAACTTCAACGTCCGATAGAAGTTCAGTGATGAACTATTATCAGTGTGTATTCCACGACATCAGACTACTGTTCTATTCCATCTTCACTCTGACCTAGAGATGTGCACCACCCACGCGTTTATCATACCGGTTGTTATACTCTATTGCTGGGACTTTTTCTTCAGAAAGATCGTACACTAAATATTGGAAGTTAAGAGAATGGATTTATTCATTGAGAGATTCATTCGTTATGAAATACTCAATTGTTAAAATGTATCACAGTAAACATTTGAACCAAACCCATCAAGCACCAATATATATTAAATATGTAATGCGTTCGTTATTCTTTTCTATTTTGAAAAATTTCTGAAATTTAAAATAAAACAGGCGTGATAATATGACTCATGTAAATGTATGTGTATGAACACTACATTCACGTCGTAGGTTGTGCGTATTGCTGAACATAATGCTCGCCTATCCACTCAATTCAATTACAGACACCCCAACCTCAAAAATTACTTTCATGATAAAGATTAGATTCCGATTGATAAGCTTTAAGTTGATATGAAATCTGTTTCTAACATATCTTAGAGTTGAAGAAAACAAAATCTTTATAAAATAGTCCTTATAGGGATCATAGAGCAACAAAGGATTAAATTGTAACTGATGTTAATTAAAAATTATCCTGATAGTAATTACAGTGGTTCGCAAAAAGACTTGGAACTGGACATAATGGACATAATGGGTATAAATTGAATTTTCAGGAAACTTCTTCCAAGTCCCTGAAAAGAACCTACCACACACCACACCCAGATCACCTACAATCTTCTCAGTTGCTTATGAGTCACTCCAATCGCAACAGCAACAATACATACGATCTAATATATGCCCTACCCTCACCAACCAATTCGCGACCATTCATCTCGTAGTCCATCCCTTCACAGTCAGCTCTTAGCAGCCGATCCTTTCGTGGCACCCACAGCGGGAACGGTGTGAAGTGTGTCGTGTTCTTGCCACTGCTCGAGTGGCCAGTCCTCTCCCTGCTCCCACAGCAGGTACGATGTGAAACATATCGTATTCTTGTCAGTCGTTCGCGGTCGGTCCTTTCCCAGTATCCACAGCAGCTGCAATGCGATATGCGTCCTATTGTTGTCAGGCCTTTCGCGGCACCCAAAGCAGGTGCGATCTGAAATTTATTGTATTCTTGCCAGTCCATTCGCGACTAGTTCTTTCGTCACACTCACACTAGGTGCAATGTGTTATGTATCATGTTCTTGCCAGTCGTTCTGTGGCCAGCTCTTCGCGGTCAGTCCTTTCGCGGCACCCAGAGCAGGTGTGATGTGAAATGTATCGTATCCTTGCCAGTCCCTCGCGGTCAGTTCTTTCGTGGCACTCACAGCAGGTTCTATGTGACATGTGTCATATTCTTGGCAGTCCTTCCGTAGTCAGTACTTCCGCGGCCCGTTCTTTCACGGCTAATCCTTTCGGGGCCAGTTCTTCCGATGCCAGTTCTTTCGTGACGGTCAGAGGTAAGCGGAGGCATATGAATCGTTTCGTGGCATGCACAGCTTGGCAGATACGCGTTAGTCGTTTGGTACCACCCATACCTTGGCGCACCCGCACCGACATCCATATCTACACTCGACAGCATTGTTTTGGAAACTTCATTGTGCATTCTCGTGGTTTCATCTTTGTGTTTTCGGAAGTCAGTTTTCCTTGGAGAGATTTTTTTTGTGTTAGGAAAACGGGAAGTGTTTTTTTGCAGAAATTCATGCAGTGCGAAAAGGCAATGTGTGTTTCTGTAAATTCATTTCGTGCTTCCGGAAATTCATTCGATGCGGAAGTTCATATAAGGCATCAAATGGACTAGATAATGATCTTACGTATGATTAATTATCGTTAACAGTCATTATTGTGTAAATTATGTTTTGAAAAAACCACTTATAGTGTTCATAATCATGTATATCGTATTCGTTCTAGAACTTTTGGTTTAATAAATACTACATGACATTTTTATCTATCATAATTATACTAGCAATTAATACTTCGACCAAAATGCCTCGTATTAGTAGAAATCGTTCGTTTCGCTATCGATCTTCCTGATACTTCCCAACATTTTGAAAATTAATTGAACAGATTAAAATCGATTAATGATTAAAATCAAATTACCACTGAGATAATCAAGAGTAATGGATGCAATATATTATTTTTTTCAATTGATTTTAATAAGATTATCATCAAGAGGGAAACAACTGACTTTATGACTTAAATGATCTAAATGATCTACGTGATCTAAATGACTTTAAAGTCATAAAAGTCAATTGTTTCCCTCTTGGATTCTGCTTATATTCACTGTGACTATCGAGTTTCTATTAGGCTACTGGAATAAGTAAATAACTTTCTATGACCTATCTGTTATCGATGCTCATAAACAAGAAAATACTTAATGCTTGAGATCGAGATTGCAACGTAATCTAATCTATTATTATGTACATAATATTTTTTCAAGCTCAAAATATCGTCGTCAAGACAAACGACGAGTATAAAAATAATCAGACATTATTGTTTTTTTGATTTTGACTCGTCTATTCACTCCAAATGCATGTTATTCTCACAAAAATGTGAATATTCAAAGAAACTTCATGAAAAAATTCGTGTA